GACTCCAACTCAAAAAAAAAAAAAAAAAAGAAAGAAAGAAATATGCACTGATGATAGTGGAGATGGCTCATTTTATATTGTGAATGTTATTTTTTTTCTGGGTGAGTATTCATCTCTGGTTACTTCTGCCCACATAATAAATTCCTAGAATTGAATTATAGAATCCAAAGGTATGGACATTTCTAATTGTTCTTAATAAATATTACCAAATTATCCTCTAGTAAAGAGTCTCTTGTTCTGAAAATATTTAAAGTTACAGAAATCCATTTTAAAACCTACATTATTTGTATAGTTTAAAATTTAGAAGTACTGTGATAGAAGATCTTGGGCAGTTTGGAAACTAAGAGGTAAGAAGTATCAAAGAAGAGACTGGTAGAGATCAGTTCTGTCACTTCCACATTTGGAATATTATGAGTAATTTATGCCTCATAAATTTCTAAATATCAGAAGACTGAGGCAGAAGGATCGCCGGAGCCCAGCAGGCGAGGCTGCGGTGGCCGGTAGCGGCCACTGCGCTCCAGTCTGGACGACAGAGTGAGACTCCAACTCAAAAAAAAAAAAAATTTCTAAATATTGTTTTGACGGTATTTAATATGAAAAAACATAAAGTATAAAAACTAAAATATCTAAATATTAATGTGAATATACAATTTAAGTATAAATACATTAGAATAAGATTAGCCATGTCCAGTTTTCTAGGACACTTATAAGAGCTTTTTATACTTTGTTTTGTGGGCAGCATAAGTTTTATGTATCACAAATATCAACTATCACATAAAACCAGTTGAATGTTATTCACAGATTTGGAATCTGTGTGAGGATAATTGTACAAGAATGTGATGATGAATGATGTTGCACAAAGTTGCATAATTTAAAAGCCTTCTGTTTTACTCTTTTTGGTTTGCTAAGATAATCCCTCTTTTAAAAATGAATTACCAACAAATAAATTATAAGCAGTGAAAATCCGTAGATTTAAAAAGACTTAAAAGATATGTCTCAATTACAGTGTATGGCCCCTTAGGCTATAGTTTCCTTTGAACAAGGAAACTATAAAAATAATTGTATGCAACAGTGAGTGGACATTGAACTGTGTGGTAGTCATTTCACAATGTATATATATATCAAAGCTTCATGGTCGGGTGTGGTGGCTCAAGCCTGTAATCCCAGCACTTTGGGAGGCCAAGGCAAGAGGATTGCCTGAGTCCAGGGGTTCGAAACCAGCCTGGGCAACTTGGTGAGACCTCGTTTCTACAATAAATAAAAAAATCAACTGGATGTGGTGGTGCATGCCTGTGGTTCCAACTTCATGGAAGGCTGAGGCAGAAGGATCACCTGAGCCCAGCTGGTCGAGGCTGCGATGGCTATGAACATGCCACTGCACTCCAGCCTGGGTGACAAAGCGAGACTCTGACTCAAAAAAAAAAAAAAAAAAAATCATGTTGTACAGCCAAAAGGAATACAGTTTTTGTCAATCAAATCTCAATAATTCTGGAGGGAAATAAATTATTGTTGATTATTTTAGGTGTGGTAATACTGTTATGGTCTTTTTTAAGAGTTTTTATATTTTGGATATATATGCTAAAATATTTGTGGCTAAAATTATTTTATATTGATGGCTTATTTTCAAAACAACCTAGGGGAATGGGGTGTAGGTGACAGTATAGGCAAAATAAGATTTGCCATGAGTTGGTAATTGTTGAAGCTGGGTGATGGGAGAATGGATATGTTTTGTTTGGGTTTTTTAATTTTAGATTCGGAGGTACAAGTGCAGGTTTGTTATATGGGCATATTGCATACTGGTGGATATTGGGTCATAGATAGTGAACACTGAACCCTTACCCTCCTCTTCTCCTTCCCCCCCATTGGTGTCCCAGAGTCTATTATTTTCATCTTTGTGACCATTTAGGTTCTACATATATGAGAGAACATGGGGTGTTTTGTTTCTGAGTTAGTTCACTTAGGATGATGTTCTCCAGGTCCATCTATGTGGCTACAAAGGACATAACTTTGTTCTTTTTTCTGGCTGTGCCACATTCCATGGTGTATATATCATATTTTCTTTATCCAGTCATCTAGCCCATTGATGGGCACTTAGGTTGATTCTGACTTTGCTGTTATGAATACTGATGCAAGGAACACATGAGCGCAGGCATCTTTTTTGTATGTGATTTCTTTTTCTTTGGGTAGATTGCCAGTAGGATGCTGGGTTGAATGGTGGTTCTATTTTTTGTTCTTTAAGACATCTCCATACTGTTTTCCATAGAGGTTGAACTTATTTACATTCCTACCAACAGTGTATGAACATTTCCTTTTCTCCATGTTCATGCCAACTTCTGTTGATCTTTGACTTTTTAGTAATAGCCATTCTGACTG